CAAGGTGGGAAAGCCAAGGGCATGTATAGTAAACCTGTAATGATTCAACTTGGCTCATGCATAGAAGAATTAAGAAAAGTCATTTATTTATCCAATAAAAGTTGGATATCTAAAAAGTAGACTCGGGCCAATTATACTACAATTGACAGCAAAAGCAGACATGGTCCCTGTCCTCATGGAGCTTACATCTTAGAGGGGGGAACAAACTTAACTTAAAAAATCATACAAACAAATACTGAGTCCAGTCTGGGAGAAATGCTTGAGGGAGATACGAAGTGAACATAGTAACAGCAGATTGTGCAAGTAAAGGGAGAACAAAGACTTTGCTAAGGAAAAGATACTTGAGGTGGCAGCTTAGGGAAAGCAGAAACAAACTAGATTGAACAGGGGAAGAGCATTCCAAGCAGAAGGAACAGCAGGTGTAAAGGGCCTGTGGCCACAGGGAGCACAGCATAGAGGAGGCATGTGAGAGATAATGAGTGAAAGAAAGGTAGGCTGGGCCAAGATTTGAAAGACTTTAAATGCCAAGTAGAGACATTGCTCTGTAGACTATGTGAGCTCCTTGAGGTCGGGGGTCATGTCTTCTGTATCAGGCCTAGAGTACTACCTGATATGCAACAGATGCCCGAACACTGGCTGCATTGGCGCCAGCGCAGATGTTATCATACGGCTAATGGAGGCCACTGGAGGCTTTTGGTCAGGTCAACTGTACTCTCTGGGTAGTGCTGGTAAGAAAAGGACGTTGGAAGTGCTACCAGAGCGGGTGCCTGATATTTTGCTGACGCATCAGGACTTTCCAGATGAAAGGATAACAAAATCACACTCTGAAGGTGGGACAAGAGGAAAATCTGGTTCCAAACTGATATGATGATAAGAATGAATTTAAAGTTGAATTTTTAAATTTAGCTTGCCAGGACCCAGCCCAGACCCTCTACATCAGACCCGGAGTCGGGCATAGGCAGCTGTATCAACGAACACTCCACCCGACTGTCATGCTCAAGAAGTTTGGGAAATTATGGTAAAGAGAACACTCAATGGACAAACGAAAGAGCTGGAAGGTAGGTTCAGGAAGTAGTTGGAGAGTGGGGAGTGAGTGCTGGAGCCTGTGAGGAGTGTTACCACTAGAGCAGGTCCTCACTAAGCTAAGGAATCCTATGAATAATGGGAACCAGTGGAGGGAGGAAGTGAGCTCTTTGGGGGAAATTACAGGAGAATTGAAGCGTGCAGGCGTGAGAGACATTTCCGTGGCACAACTGACAGTTCAGTGGGTGCTTCCCTGGGAGAAGAAAGGAGAGGTGGAGACTGCTTTCCTCAGGGAGGGTCACAGGGCAGGAAGGCATTCCTTTTTCCACTGGAGTTTTACATGACAAGTGACACCACGCACCTCACTTAGCCCATCCTCTCCTAGGAAGGAAACACAGACCTCCAGATTGGGAGGTTATTGGGGCTGGGAATATGGGCATGGGAGTCACTGGAACTGTTGGCAACAGGGAGAAGGGTACCAGGTGTTAGGATTGTGGGGTCAGACCTGGCTGGGTTCGGCAACCTTGGTACTTGAGTTCTGGCTAGAAAAGAATTCAGAGCCAAGACTTAAACTATAAGAGTAAGTTTATTTAGAAAGTCGCAGAGGTAGACGTGAGTGGTAGGAGAAATGGGCTCAGGAAACAAGTTACAGAGGCAAAGGAAGAGGCCTTGGAGCTTAGGAGAGAGGAAGGTCATGGTAATAGGCCTGGGCAGGGGATGGGGGGGAAAGGGAGGAGAGGGAGGGGAAGGAGAGAGGAATGGGAAAGGCATGGGTGGGTGTGCTCCTGGGAGGGAGAGCGCTGGGTCCTCCATCCTAAGGGTTTCAAGGTGGATATTTTAGGAGAGGTCCCGGGGAGCAGCTCCATAGACCAGCGGTTCTCAACCTGTGGGTCGCAACCCCTTTGGGGGTCGAACGACCCTTTCACAGGGGTCGCCTAAGACCATCCTGCTTATCAGATATTTACATTACGATTCATAACAGTAGCAACATTACAGTTATGAAGTAGCAACGAAAATAATTTTATGGTTGGGGGTCACCACAACATGAGGAACTGTGTTTAAAGGGACAGAAGGTTGAGAACCCCTGCGATAGACTATGTCACAGCTTTCCAGGTGTGTCCTTTCAGGATCTCGGTCTCCACTGATGGGTCAGCACCAGGGCAGGGGTCCTTAGTCAATGCAGCTGGTCCTGGGTCAGGCTTGTCTGGTTTTGCTGCTTTTCTGGGCCCTGAGCTGAAACACAACTGAGGCCTAGATGCATCGATGCGGGTCAGAACCTCATTGTCCTGGGGCTTAATGCATAAGGGCTACTCTTTGGCTCCCTTTTTCATTCCCCCTCTAAGGGGGGTTCTAACCCACATGACCAGCAGCATGCCAGGGGAGGAAAGGTAAGCCGAGGGTCCGAACCGCGTGACCAGCAATATGCTCAGGGGAGGAAAGGTTACGTTGGGGGCGAGGCCCTTGTTTTCCCAGTTTCAGCCATTGCTAGGCATCAGGGGCTTTCCACCCGGTGACCTTCTACCAGGCCCATCACCCTGGCTCTGCTCATGTCTCTCTAACTGCCGACCACAGAAGCATGGGAATTTTCCTCGTGTGAGGATGCAAGCTGACAAAGGGACCAAGGACAAAATTGTGGGGAAACAGGCATGTTTAAGTAGCACCTAGAGAAGTCAGTAAAGGAGACTAAGTAGAGATGGAAAAGCTAGCAACTGCAATCTTGGCTGTTCTAATTATTTAATACCTATACCCCCAGGCTCAGTGAACTGAAAAAATAAAAAATATTTTCATTATGATAGGACAGATAACATATATATTTGCCACCTATCTAGAACATTCTAGTAAATTAGAATTTACTTAGTAAATTAGAGTGAATAGTAAAATTTTAGAAAACCTATTGATTGATTGACCTAATCAGCTAAAATAAACACCAAATCCAGGTAAGGAGGCTGAGATATAGCTAGATATCTTAGCTTGCTTCCAGCTCTAACCTAAAGTGTTTCCGGAGATTCAAGAAACTCAGAGATGGATTTATTAAATAGAGTTATTCAAGAGCAAATCCTGAAGTAATGATACCTATTTCCTAAGCCTACCCTTCCCCCTTCCTCAGTGAGGACTGACTAGGGACAATCCAAGGTCACAGAGCGGGCACTGGGATGCCCAAGGTCATGAAGGGGTGCTGGCTACCTTTCCAGTCCCCATCATGAGTAGTTTGATTTGTCATTTATGCACTCTGGCGCCGGGTGTCACAGCACTGGGAATGGCATCCATTTGTGCCTCGCCCAGCCAACCTCTCCTTCCTCTGAACCTGTGAAGTGGCTCATCAAGCACGCGGACTCCCGCATCCCAAAGGCCCAAAGGAACCCGGTCTGCAGTGCGTCTGGGCTCTCTAATGAGGGCCTTTACGGTTCCCTACGCACTCGGGAGCCAGAGACTTTTTCTACCAGGATTTTTAAAAAGGCAAGAAAAAAGAAAAAGAAACCTTTATTTATAAAAGAGCCTAATGTCTTCTTTACAAAGGGCATTTACTTTAAACTATATAATCAAGTAGCACGGGTGTAGGGCAAACGAGGAATCGCACAAGCCACGTCTCCTTCACTGGACTCTGGCAAATCCCTGTGCCAGGCACCGTGCTAGTCCCAGTAACACTACAACCCTAGTGAGACCTTCCGCGGCGCCGGCGGCAGCGCGAACCCTCCAGCGCGGAAGCTGAGCGTTTCCTTACTGACAGTCGTGACGACCCCAGTCCTGGAAAAAGGCGGACAGCGTGCCCTTTCTTTGGGTTGTCCTGGGGACAAACCGCAAACACTCAGGACACCCTCAACACAGCAGCTTCGCCGCTTCCGGCCCTGGCCCCGCCCCAGCTTCAGGCCCCGCCCCTGGGTTCCCCACCTCCC